ATGGTGCTGCTACTGGTGATGATGCAGCTGCTGCTGGTGACGGTGGAGGTGTTGAGATCCTTCGAGGCGATGGAGGTGTTGAGATCCTTCGAGGTGGTGGAGGTGCAGAGAACTCCTCAACTTGATGAAGGACCTCTCCACCCACTTGGAGAGAGCAAGGCACCTTTTTCCGGTCGAGCACCATGGCCTCGGATTTGGAGGTGCTGATTCTCATCCCAGCCACTTCACACTGGGCTGCAAACCGTCCCAGTGCATGTTGCAGGTCCTGGTTTGATTAAACTAACAGAACAACATTGTCTACAAACAGCAGCGATTAAATCCTTTGGTCCCCGAACCGGGCCCCTCCCGGCACCTGGCTGTGCCTAGAAATTCTGTTCAAAAAGACAGTGACCGCTTGTCACTGGACAGAACCGTTGACAAAGGGCAGCCTTGGCGGAGGCCAACATGAACAGGTCTGACTTACTACCTCAGCAGAGTAACCTGGACCCCGTACTCCCGGAGAACCCCCCAAAGGACACCCCGGGGAACACGGTCGAATGCCTTCTCCAAATCCACAAAGCACATGTGGACAGGTTGGGGTTTACTCCCATGAACCCTCGAGTATCCTGGAGAGTATAGAGCTGGTCCAGTGTTCCGCGGCCAGGACAAAAACCTCCTAAATCCGAGATTTGACATTGTCGACGTCTCCTCTCCAGTACCTTGGGAGTAGACCTTACCAGGGAGGCTGAGGAGTGTGTGCCCACGATAATTGGAACACAGAGAGTGACCAACAACCCAGTCTGCCATTCCCTTGGTACCGCCCCTGATCGCCACGCGATGTTGCAGAGACGTGTCAGCCAAGACAGTGCTACAACATCCAGAGACTTTAGATAGTCAGGAGGGATCTTGTCCACTCCCAAAGCCTTGTCACCAAGGAGGCTGCCAACCACGTTGGTGACTTCGGCCAGGGAGATGAAAGCATCCGCCCCAACATCCTCAGTCTCTGCCTCCAGGACAGAGGACGAGACTGGGATTGAGGAGAACTTCCAAGTATTTCTTCCACCGCCATACAATTTACTCAGTCGAGGTCAGCAGCTCTCCAAACAGTTCCCTCTCCGTGTTCCCTCTCCAAGAAGTTCTGCCAACACCGTGTACGAGCCTTGTTAACTAATTCCGCCTCACAAGGCACTGGATGGTTTGCCAGACTCTCTTTGAGATCGACCGATAGTTATGCTCTATGGACTCTCCAAACTCTTCCCAGTTCCGGGTTTTTGCCTCTGCAGCAGCCCGGGGAGCGGAACGCTTGGGCAGCCGGTACTGGACAACTGCCTCAGGAGTCCCATGAACCATCATGGCTCAATAGGACTCCTTCTTCAACTTATCTAGCTTCTTCTACTTATCTAGCACCGGGCTCGGGGGTTTCCACCAGCACCAGAGACCTGCCAACCACAGCTACGAGTTGCCACATTAGCAATAGAGGTGGAGAACATGGTCAGACTCAATGTCCCCCTCCTCCTGAGGTGTGAGTTGAAAAGTCTGTCTGACAGGGGGCTCACTGAGACGTTCCCAGCAGACTTAAATCGGAGATATTTATCTTTGTGTGTGGTGCCCCCTGGGGACAAATGACGAGGCGGCGAGGAGCACTGGAAAAAAAAATCATAACAGAAAGTCCGGTGGACGTTGTGGATGGAGAACCAACTCGTCGACCTATGGCAACTTTTGACAACACTTTTTCTCTGTTAAAAACAAACTGCAAACTATCGCCACTGCATACTCTTCGTCCGCCATGATTGTTTACTTTGAAGTCACGCTTGATCTCAAGAGATTTTGCAAGATTAACCGTCTGATCTGGTAATGCTCGAGAGTGAAATCGGTTCGTGTGTGATGATTGTGGTTTGCGTAATTTTGCCATGTGACTGGGCACCACACACTGTATGACCAAAGTGGTTAGACCCTTGATTTTTTTAATCTCTGTTTGTGGGGTCCCTCAGGTTTGGAAAATCATCCGACAATTTCAAAATCTTCTCGTGTGAACCAGGCTTAACTGATGTTGCTCATGCGCCCCCTTGTGGCACATCTAAGTATGGCATAATACAGTTAGTTGCACGTTTGTCCATATAAACGGTTTAATTGTTTTTTTGTTTTTTTTAAGTAGGGCGTCTGGTTTTCACTATTGACATTACTTATGATTTACATTAAGTATATTTTAGTGGTTAAAATGTTTAAACTATGAGCCTTACAAACACCTTGTGAAAATAGTCAATTCCAGCCATTAAAAATAGTTGCAAAATGAGCTGTCTGCTATCGTGTCAGTAAGTGAATAGTTTGAAAAGACAAATCACTTGCATTTGCAGAACCTTTAAAAGTAACAAATAGACTACGCTCCAAACAGTGTGGTTTTCTGTGATACAGCTCTGCTCTGGGGGTTGGTCAGTTAGTTTCACCGTCTGAGGGTTAACTGGTGGAAAGATTTTCATGTGCCGCAGCCATCAGCAACACTCTAAACATTCAAAACTGTAAAGTGCATGACCTTATTGAGCGTGGGTGGATTTTGGTGGTGAAAATATGTGTTGATATGAATTTGGTTTGAGACAGTGGTAGCTCTCACCCTGAGTGAGTAAAGGCGCGTTCAGACCAAAAGCTTCAAAAAGCTTTTGACGCGCTTCAACTGACGCCGGGATAGTTTTGTCATTTTGGTGCTTGAAGCTTTTGACGCGAGTGACGCGCCTGACGCCGGTGGGAGGAGCTTCTCTGTTGCCTGTAGTCAGGACAGCGGTGGATTTTTCAATGAGCAGCGAGCCTTTATTTGTTATATAAAGCAAAATAACGTTGTTGTAGGGCTTCAACAAAACATGTTCTGGGTTCACCACAGACTTGAGAGGCTGCAGTGTTTGCAGAGTTCCGTCATTTACTCCAGGAGCTGCGTACGGAGGAGTTTCGCTTTCAGCGGTACTTCCGCATGTCACTCGCCCGGTTTGAGTTCTCAAACCCCGGAGCTCGCCTCCCCGCCTCGCTCTCGCCTCTCCCTGCCTCTCCCCGGCTCTAGCTCGCCTCTCCCCGGCTCTCGCTCGCCTCTCCCTGCCTCTCCCCGCCTCGCTCTCGCCTCTCCCCGCCTCGCTCTCGCCTCTCCCTGCCTCTCCCCGGCTCTCGCTCGCCTCTCCCTGCCTCTCCCCGGCTCTCGCTCGCCTCTCCCTGCCTCTCCCCGGCTCTCGCTCGCCTCTCACTGCCTCTCCCCGGCTCTCGCTCGCCCGGAGCTGCCTTGCTCTGAGCCAGACTCATCGTCAGCCTGTTCTTATTTTAAATAAACTACGTTTACTACACAGCATGTGTACAATGATTTTGTTACTCAGAACGTTACTACTCATACAAATAATATTACTAATAACAATAATGACAATAAAACAGCAGCAGCAGATACATGACTTCTCTTCATGACAGAGACAGACCCTCTGCTGCTGCTGCTCCTCGTCTCCTGATTGGTTGAAGCCCGCGTCAAAGCTTCAAAAGCTCAGCTTTGCTCAGCTTCGGCGTCAAAGGGATTGTTGTGATACGCGAGCGTTTCGCGCGTCAAAAGCTTCAAGTGAGCGCGTAGTACGCGCGACTCTTGAAGCTTTTGACGCGCGTCAAGTGACGCCGGGGCTCTCGGCTTCACCTGACGCGCTTCACCATTCACTTTCAATGGAAACCTGACGCTTTTGACGCCGAAGTTAAGTCCGGTGTGAACGCCCCTTAAGTGTTTAACAGATTACATTCACAAACAGTCTAAATAAACAATATTTGATGCCATTTTATTAATGGTGATATATTCTGCAAAATCTTCATTTTAGGGACTCAAAATACCCCAATGTGATGACCGCATTTTTGACAAACATGATGTTACATTTATGACAAACATCACCAACTCAAACAAGGAGGGGGGGATGAAAGAGGAGAGAGAGAGGGGCCGTGCTGCTTTGTTCTGAACAATGCTTACTATTTAAATGTACATCTTAAGAAAAACTGATGGTGGTTTATTGAAGTTTTTCTAAAAGACAAGGTTTTTCTAGATCCACACATTCAGAAGCGCTTGGATGTTATATCCGTTTTCAGTTTATTTAAGAAAATCCCCTTGAGATACACACACTTACAGTACATACACAAATATAAGAAAAGATACTTGCATAAACACACACAGAAAAAAACAAAGAATGAAACACATACTCCTTCACACCCAACTCCTCCCCTCTGCTTAAATTAAAACATTTAGGAAGAGACAAAGTAAAACTTAACAATAATGACACACAAACAGAATACAGAACATTAGTGACAAGGAGTTTTAAGGAACCTAAATAACTAAACCTTAAATGAACCAAAAGACATAACTGATCGTATGAATGTGGGGAGTCTATTCCAGTCTTAACAGTTATAACATGTAACGGGGAAGTCTGGGCTAAAGTGGAAGGAAACAGATAGAAGCATAAACAAAGCAGGGTTGAAGTAGCCATGGGGCCTCCGAGCAGAGGGTTGTGGCTCTGTGAGAACTTTGCTTTTACAGTTTGACTCTGACGTCTGAGTAGAGAACATGTTCCTCTGCCTTCACTGCTCTGCGCTGGGAGCGGTCAGCTGTGCTCTTGTTGCACTTGGGGTCAGAGTAAATCACCTCAGCCTCTCTCTACAAAAGAATATAGTGGTAAATATTCTGCATGTTGGTTATCGTCGTAAAGTATGTCTTACCAACGACATTGTTTGTCCATCACCGACTCTTTCGTCACCAATATGTTCAACTATGAAATACACAGTTAGAACACAATGCATGACCTTTGATTAAAACAATGGGAGCTTAAATTACCATGGAAACAGAGGCCATTTCTCTTGATGAAATAAGCGAGGACTATTATACACATGACACTGACGGCCAGAGCGACACCGAGGATAATGACAGTCTTCCTTAAAAAGGACAATTCCTCTGATTTCTCTTCTGTAATAACAATTCATGCTTTTGAGTGTGACAAATTTTACGATACACAAAACAGTTACATTACCTTTGACAATGACTTTGGTTGCGTTTCCGAAGAGAACACGTCCGCATGCGGCCACAGCACAGTGGAGGGAGCCGGAGTCAGAGGCGTTCAGGGTTTTGGAGAAAGTGTAGAAACATGTTTGAGGAGCAGGACTGCTGTCACACTGAGCAGAGCTGTTCTTCTCAGTCCAGACCAAACCATAGTCCGGTCCAGATCCAAACCACCAAACCATGTGCTCCTCAAAACACTGATCATCCATCTGGACCGAACACTCGAAGTTCACCGAGTCTCCAGAATCCACAGGACTCAGCACTTTCATCTCTGAGTCTGAGCCTGAAGAGAAAAGTCTGCAGTAAGTATCTCAACAATGTCTAACTATGAAAGTGGCTTACCCTTAATCTTTAGAAATATTCCAAATACTAATTTCATATCAAGTAGATATACTTTCACACAGTAGTAAAATCCTGTGTCTTGAAGAGTGGACGAATGTATAATCAGATCAAAGGTTTCTTTTCCTTGTTTTGCCGTGGTGCGAGAAGTCTTAATTTCTTTGTTATCAACATGTGAGGGAGTTCCTCCTAAAAAATCAAGCGAATTTCCCGACAAAACTCTGATCCAGTAAAATGTTGGAGTTTCCCCCATTTCGACAGAACGTGGACAGGTCAGAGTCACTGTTTCTCCGACGGCATGAGTTCTTGTTACAAATAAAGGATTCACCAAACATTCTGTAAAACAAATGTAGGTTAAATAATAATAATCCAACAATGGTCAGGATCTGTGAATCTGTGACTTACGGACTGTTCTGACGGAAAGTGCTGCAAATACCACGGACCACATGATCTTGGTGACGACCTGTTTTCATGAAGTGATAATAAAATGGTGTCTCTCTCATTATTATATTGACATCAAAGGGAGGAGCTCTTTCTGATTGGTTTGTTCTCAGCTTCATATGGTCACAGTGGAAAATCTTTGGTGCCAACTTGTTTCTTTGAAGGGTGAAGTGCTTCCCTCCTCCTCGTCTGCACTCAAGTCTTCTGTCTGTCTACATATATAAATATACAAATGCTGTGATAGAGTGGGACACTCTGGTGTGTGCTAATCTGAGCGCCTGCACTGTAAACGGGGCTCCGGTCTGACTTTTTACAGACTAATTACGTAAATATACTATTACAAACAACTCGAAAATATACATAGTGAACACAAACAAAGGGCATGTTACAGAAATAATTAGTAATTCTAAGAATACTACCCATTAAAGTGATAGTCTGTAACTCTAAATGAATTACAAATTTTAGGAAATGTGTTAAATTGACCTCCTGGCCTTGAATATTGATATAAAATAAGTCATTTTATTAATTCTAATATTACAGGTAAGTCCCGCCTTCCCTGCTCTTAGCTATAGCTCAGAATCCACGGTGCCGTCGAGGTTAACCAATCGATTCATGCCAAGGGCTGTCAATCATCGGCGCTGATGCTCACAGCTGCGCGCATGCTCAGTTGTTTGTTTTCACGGAGCCTCTATTAGGCTCTGGAACTACATGAAAACTGAATAAAGAATTCTGAACATCCGCGCTGAGTTACTCATTTATATACTGACCCTATATCCATAATCAGATCCTCTGCAGATGTGTCCTATAATGTACAATTCATAATAATAGCACTTCCTGGTTTGCCGCGATCGCTTTTTTGTGTGCATAAAAACATTTTTTTTTCATTAAACATTAACAAATAATTCTGAAAACCTCTGTGCATGTGTATTAATAATGTATATGTATAATGTGTTCTCTGATTAACATTTCAAAGTGTTACGGAAACGTAGGTGTAGACCAATCAGAAAGGAAGGGGGAGGGAGCTTGCGTCGTTTTTTTCAAATCAAGTACCTCTCTGTCTCTCTTTCTGACAAACTCCAGACAATCACTTTAATACAAACTTTCACACTTACTTCTGTCTTATGCACGCACACGTCCACACACACAGGGGAACACTGTAAAAGCAAATAAAAAAGAAAGACATGTATTCATTTGAAATATTTAAAAAAAACTCACAAATGTTGAAATCAAAGTCTGTAGCAGTTAGATATGGTCATTATTTATAGTGTCTGAGAGTTTTGTGCGTGTACATGGCTTCAGTAAAAGCTATTGTTCGTTTACAAAGCTGGTCTTGACATTTGTTGACGCTTCCTGAGCGTTTTTCTCTGCACTTGCAGTGAATTGGATGTTTCAATGGATTTATCTGCATTAAAAAAGCACATTGGATTAGAACAATTGATGTGAATGGCATTTTGGCACAATTAATTTTGTTTAACAAAGTAGCTTTCGTGAGCTATTGACCGCGGAGGTCCAAATCTGACGCTACCTTTCCCAAACTTCTGATGTGATGATACTGCGGACACGGCACATGCATGGATCTATTTTGGCTCACGCTAGCTCTTCGAGCCTACACGATTGGCCTAAAGGTAGACACTTAAACTGTGATTACTGTGTGTGTATTTACCTCTGCTGGGGCCGCTGTGACAACAATACAGAGACAGAAACACGGTGTGAATTCCGTGTTGTTGTTCGCTGTTTCCAGTGGTGTCTGCTAGGCTAATGCTGCTAGGCTAATGTCCAAGGCTAATGCTGCTAGGCTAATGTCCAAGGCTAATGTGCTAGGCTAATGCTGCTAGGCTCATGTGCTAGGCTAATGCTGCTAGGCTAATGCTGCTAGGCTAATGCTGCTGAATGCCGGTTTGTTTTGGTCCTTTCTGCTGGCGTCAGAGCCTGCGCAATTTGATGACATAATAACCTATCGTAACATGCCGGTATAACAAAAATCTCTACCGTGGGCCAAATTTAAATCGCATACCGCTTATACCGTATATATCGCCCAGCCCTAGGTGAACCACAGCACAGAGACTGCTCTTTTAAAGATTTTAAACGATTTTAGACTAAGTTATGATTTTAAAAAGGTGACTGTGTTGGTTCTACTGGATCTTAGCGCTGCCTTCGACACAGTAGACCACACCATTCTTTTATCACGTCTACAACACCTCGGCCTCTCTGGTGCTGTCCACAAATGGTTCACTTCTTATTTAACAGACAGATCCTTCATGGTGAGTTTGGATACCTGCTCCTCTCAGGTCCATAAAATCACATGTGGTGTGCCCCAGGGTTCCATTTTAGGCCCAGTCCTTTTTAACCTGTACATGCTCCCTCTTGGCGGTGTCGTCAGGAGACATGGAATAAACTTCCACAGTTATGCAGATGATACACAGCTGTACATCTCCATGTCTCCTGACGACACCAGGCTCTTTTTAACTGCATTTTAGACCTGAAATCCTGGATGGCAGAAAACTTTCTCCAGCTTAACCAGGACAAAACTGAGGTTCTAGTCATCGGTCCTGAGGCCCAGAGAGAGAAACTTTTATCAAAACTCCAATCACACTCTTTTAATCCATCATCACAAGTGAAAAACCTGGGTGTAATCTTTGACTCTGAGCTGACTTTTATTCCTCACATTAAGAACATCACAAAAATAGGTTTTTATCATCTAAAGAACATCGCCAGAGTCCGCCCCATTTTCTCTCGGGGCCAACACGGAGACGCCGATGCATACTTTTATCACCAGTCGCATTGACTATTGTAATGCCCTGCTCTCTGGTCTTCCCAAAAAGAACATTGCAAGTCTTCAATTACTCCAAAACTCGGCCGCACGTGTCCTGACTAAGACCAGGCGGCGGGACCACATTACACCGGTTTTAAAATCGCTGCATTGGCTCCCCGTGTGTTTCAGAATCGATTTTAAGGTTCTTTTAATGGTTTTTAAATGTCTTAATGGTCTTGGGCCTTCTTCTCTTTCAGAACTGCTTTTATCCTATGAACCTTCCCGGCCCCTGCGCTCCTCCGGCAGCAGACTCCTAACCATCCCCAAAGTCAGGACACACACTCACGGCGGTTTTTATTATTCCATTCTATTTATCTTTTATTATTTATTATTTATTATATTGCTATTGCTATTATTCATGTATTGTGTGTTCCTTTTAGTCTCACATTTTAGTGTTTTACTTATTGTATTGTTTTTAGTGTACCCAGTGTTTCCTCTGGAGGAGCCCTCTGCACTGGGAGCAGTGGTCGGTGTGGCTGTGGGGGTCGGACTCTTGGGCCTGGTGGGGGCCTCGGTTTCATGTCTCCTCTAGATCCTGTGTCGTCCCCTGTGGCTACAGGCGTCTCTCTGCTCCTGGTGCAGACGGCTCCTTGGATGACGCTTTTTCAGCTGGTTGCATCTGAACCCTGCCAAGTCTCTCATCATTGTTTTACTGGTGTGTGTGTGTGTGTGTGTGTGTGTGTATATGAGTGTTCATGAGCGCGTGTGTGTGTTTGTCTGTGGTTTGGGGTGGGTCTGTTGGGTGGTCTGAGGGAGGGGTCTTGGGTCGGCGGGATTGTTTTTAACCAAACTGTTAAGCACTTTGTGTTGCATCCTTTGTATGAAAAACGCTTTATAAATAAAATTTGATTGATTGATTGATTGATGCACAGTGGTGATAAACTATTATTGTAGCCACAGCTGCCCTGGGGCACCCTGACAGAAGCGAGCCAACCTCTGACCACCACCAACCATTCACACACACACCAGACTCATTCTAGGCAATGTGGGTGAAGTGTCTTGCCTAAAAGAACACAATGATAGTTTAGCACTTTACAGCCACAGCCGCCCCACTGTGACACCTGATGGTCCCAGAGGTCTCCCATCACAGCACTAACCAGGCCCTGCCATGCACTCCTGGGCATCTGGGATCTGACTTCCGCAAGTTTTCTTTTTTTTTTTTTTTACTCATCATGCTAAAGACAGATACAAATATACATTCTTTTTGATCTTGAAGTAGAGATTCTAATTTATTTTTTGTTTTAGTATAAAATTATTGTTCTTTTGCTGCATGCTCCTCATTCCTGCTGTTCTGTAACTGGTGCAACACTGACATTTCCCCACTGTGGGACAAATAAAGGATGTCTTAATCCTAATTTCTTAACACGTTTGGCGATAGCTCTCCTGACTCTACAATGACACCTCTGATTAGAGTGGACAAGTCCAAGATAAGTTTGTTGCACAAACCTCTGGAAAGAAAAAAAGTTCATGATGACAAAGAAGACTGCAATCCCCCACAAGCCACTCTTTGAGAAAACTGTTCCCTGTGAAATGAGGACGAGCTGTTTCTGTTAACATCCAGGTCTATGGGAAAGTGTCCTGTGACGCCCTGGTGAATACAGGCTGCAATGATGCGGACGGCCTACCTCCATTCAGAGGAAGCCGTGTGGAGGAGACTGCTGAGTAACAGATAGAAGGCAGGAGGCGGGTCCAGGTGAACAGAAGGATGTACGGCCTGTTTGGAGTAAAGAGACGACTTTAGTCAGGCCTCTGCCCCGTAGAGTTGGTGTTTAACCCATATTAGACCATTCTACTTTTGAAATGGGACGTTATAGTGAGAGTTAACACCAAAGCCACTTTTGTAAACTCAAAATGTCATTAGACCAAAATAAACTAACTGAACTTCTTGGTATTATTTTGAGATTTAAGTACATATCACCTGTCGTTAAAAATAGGACATTTGGGTCATAAATAGTGTCATGCCTGTCCTCTTCATGACACAGTCTTCAGAGGACAGGCGTGCAGTAGTAACATGTGACATCACCTCCCTACACTTTTGACCCTGCAGATAGGTTGCTTGATAGTAACGCAGAGACAGCAACTTCTGTGAAGAGAAAACAGAGTTCACTTTTGCATGTGCAGACTAACTGACTGAGCACAGAACTGATCAAAACACCGGATGTGTCGAAAATATATGCATCAAATATTTTTTTACATTTTGACATAAAAAACTGAAATTGATAATCAGTGACTGAAATATGCTGACAAAAATATTCAAGATGTTAAAACATTCAAATAGATGAATTCAGGTCCATTTCAAGTTCAATATCTGATGGTATTATTAAAGCTCATTTAAAATCAAAAATCTGATCACACAAAATATCTTCCATAACTAAATCACAACAGTAGTTATCTCAGAGGATTTCAAAGACAGGAAATGCAATGTTATAAACCAAACAGAGACATTGGTCCTTAAGGGACAGAGCCCAATGTCATAAATGTAAATAGATGATCATAAATGTTGTTGAATGTTGCGTGTCCTGGATCATCACCACTGTCCTTAGACTCTCCACAGAGTCTTTCAAACATACAGTATGTAAACAAATAAAATGTGCCAAATTACATTATGAACATTTTCCCCTCTCGAGCCCAAGAGGGGTGAGAATTGTAAACCCTGAGAAAGGAAAACAGGAGACCAAATATGAGTTTGTCTTGTCCTCATCAACAGCAGGGTTTATTCTGCAGTTCTGTCCGTCTCCTAACTCATGTTGATTTGTTGTTTATTCTGTAAATTGATGATTGTTGATTAATCTATAATCCAGGATGTGCAGATGTAGTTTGTTTTGTGCCTTTGTGTCCTTGTTTTGCACTAGTTTCATTGTGACGTGTAAAGTTTGATTTTAGTTGAGTTTTGGGGGCGGCGTTGCTCATACACTTTTGCTTCAGCCCACACCTTTTGTGCAGTATTAATGCTGTTCAAATCAATAAATAAATAAGAAAAAAAAAAAAATCTCATCCTGAGTAAGTGTATAACAGATTACACGCACAAACAGTCAATACAATACAAACCATTTTATTAAAAGGAGATATATTCTGCAAAATAGGTGCTGTATCGCTCAGTTCTACTCGTCACAGACTCAAACAAACATGAATAAAACCTGAAAAAACATGGTCTTTCAATATTATGATCTTAAAGCGAGAAGAACAGTTTGACTCTGACGTCTGAGTAGAGAACATGTTCCTCTGCCTTCACTGCTCTGCGCTGGGAGCGCTCAGCTGTGCTCTTGTTGCACTTTTTGGGCAGAGTAAATCACCTACAAAAGAATATAGTGGTAAATATTCTGCATGTTGGTTATCGTCGTAAAGTATGTCTTACCAACGACATTGTTTGTCCATCACCGAGTCTTCCGTCACCAATATGTTCCACTATGAAATACACAGTTAGAACACAATGCATGACCTTTGATTAAAACAATGGGAGCTTAAATTACCATTACCACTCTTGACGAAAAAATAAATGAGGACTATTATACACATGACACTGACGGCCAGAGAGATAATGACGGCCGGAGCGATAAGGACACTTGATTTCTCTTCTGTAATAACAATTCATGCTTTTTGAGTGTAACAAATTGGAGAATACACAAAACACAAAACAGTTACATTACCTTTGACAATGTCTTTGGTTGCGTCTCCGAAGAGAACACGTCCGCATGCGGCCACAGCACAGTGGAGGGAGCCGGAGTCAGAGGCGTTCAGGGTTTTGGAGAAAGTGTAGAAACATGTTTGAGGAGCAGGACTGCTGTCACACTGAGCAGAGCTGTTCTTCTCAGTCCAGACCAAACCATAGTCCGGTCCAGATCCAAACCACCAAACCATGTGCTCCTCAAAACACTGAGCATCCATCTGGACCGAACACTCGACGTTCACCGAGTCTCCAGAATCCACAGGACTCAGCACTTTCATCTCTGAGTCTGAAGAGAAAAGTCTGCAGTAAGTATCTCAACAATGTCTAACTATAAAAGTGGCTTACCCTTAATCTTTAGAAATATTCCAAATACTAATTTCATATCATGTAGATATACTTTCACACAGTAGTAAAATCCTGTGTCTTGAAGAGTGGACGAATGTATAATCAAATCAAAGGTTCCATTTCCTTGTTTTGCCGTGGTGCGAGAAGTTTTAATTTCTTTATCAAAATCAAATGAGGAAGTTGATCCTAAAATATCAAGCAAATTTCCCGACAAAACTCTGATCCAGTAAAATGTTGGCCTTTCCCCCAGTTTGACAGAACGTGAACAGTTCAGAGTCACTGTTTCTCCGACGGCATGAGTTCTTGTCACAAATAAAGGATTCACCAAACATTCTGTAAAACAAATGTAGGTTAAATAATAATAATCCAACAATGGTCAGGATCTGTGAATCTGTGACTTACGGACTGTTCTGACGGAAAGTGCTGCAAATACCACGGACCACATGATCTTGGTGACGACCTGTTTGCATGAAGTGATAATAAAATGGTGTCTCTCTCATTATTATATTGATATCAAAGAGAGGAGCTCTTTCTGATTGGTTTGTTCTCAGCTTCATATGGTCACAGTGGAAAATCTTTGGTGCCAACTTGTTTCTTTGAAGGGTGAAGGGCTTCCCTCCTCCTCGTCTGCACTCAAGTCTACTGTCTGTCTACATATATAAATATACAAATGCTGTGCATGAAAATCTGTGACCTTTTTCAAGTCAATTTGCTCCAAAGTTATAGTAACTTTGTTGAACAAGATGAGTCCCAAATCTTAAAATGTGATAATAATTAGTTAATTAATAATGGATTGGTTTTATACAGCGCTTTTCAGGACACTCAAAGACACTTCACACATCATCATTCATTCACTCCGTACACAGTGGTGATAAACTACTGTTGTAGCCACAGCTGCCCTGGGGCACTCTGACAGAATCGAGCCAACCAGTATGTGCCGTCGACCCCTCCAACCGCCACCAGACTAATTCTAGGAAATGTGGGTGAAGTGTCTTGCCTAAAAGGACACAATGACAGTTTAGCACTTTACAGCCACAGCTGCCCCACTGTGGCACCTGATGTTCCCAGAGGTCTCCCATCACAGTACTAACCAGGCCCTGCCCTGCACAGTTTTACAGGTCCAAAGGGATCTGGCTTTCGCAGGTTTTTTTTGAGTCAATATGCTAAAGACAGAGATTCTATACTTGTTTCTTTTTAAAGCTCGAGGGAGAGATTTTCTTTTTATAGTTATTGTTCATTGATCTTGTGCTGTGTGCTCCTCATTCCTACTGTTCTGTAACTGGTGCAACACTGACATTTCCCAACTGTGGGACGAATAAAGGATCTCTTAATCTTAATTTCTTAATACGTTTGGCGATACTCTTGACACTACAATAACACCTCTGATTAGAGTGGACAAGTCCAAGATAAGTCACAACCCCTTCCTTCTCTCTGTGGTCGTGCTCTAGGACTGCCTTGTTATATCCGTGTGCAGGTGGAGCTGTGGGCGGATCTTATGTGCGTGGTGCCTCAGGGCCCGACGTGCAACGCCTATTTCTGGACCTGCCAGCTGTCAGTCTCACTCTCTCCCAGCATGCATCCTGTGCCACACCACTTTGTTTCTGTTAGCGTTATGGTTTTGTTCAATATCACACCTCACATCGCACCATACGGACACACAACCATTCACTCACGCACACCACTGACACTACAGACAGTCACACCTCCTTTTATTGGCTATACTTGGGTTAATTTTCTGTTAAAATAAAACACTCATCCAAGTATCCCATTTTAATGTCTGCGTCCATACTTGTCATGGCCTTGAGCCAGGGTATGGGACACAAACCTCTGTAAAGAAGAAAAGTTCATGATGACAAAGAAGACTGCAATCCCTCACAAGCCACTTTTTGAGAAAACTGTTCCCTGTGAAATGAGGACGAGCTGTTTCTGTTAACATCGAGGTCTGAGGGAAAATGTCCTGTGACGCCCTGGTGAATACAGGCTGCAATGATGCGGACGGATGTTCAGAGTAAACAGACTCTACCCCGGCATCTGCACCACAGGGTTTGTGGTTAACCATATTTTGAACGTGGACATGACGTTATAGTGGGAGTTAACACCAAAGCCACTTTTGTAAACCCAAAATGTCAAGATTAGACCAAACTAAACTAACTGAACTTCTTGGCATTATTTTGAGATTTAAGTACACATCACCTGTAGTTAAAACATGTCGTCTTCATGACACTGAGTCTTCAGAGGACAGGTGTGTAGTAGTAATGGGTGACATATTTTTGTTGTTGCTTTTTTTCTACCTGAGATATAGCTGCAGTAGAGTGTTTGTGGTTTTGCACTGGTCCAGACCAGAGCAGAGAGGATTTATGGTCCGAACCAAGCGGATCAGGTAAATATCCACTTGAGGAGTACTAATTGAAAAATGCTAATGAAGCATTCAGCATTATACTTTGGCCTAGAGCAGAGAAAATGGTCCGAACCAAGCAGCTGCTCCACCTCTGCTGCTGTGACCTAAAGTGCTGTTGCATTTTAATACTGTTGTTAGCTATTTTTAGAATTATCTATTTATTTGTTTTGTTTGTATGGATGGACAATGGATGGCTACATTTTGACCCTATAGATAGGTTGCTCTTACGGAAGGACGGCAGAAGTGTGTGAGAATTTTGAAAGAGTGACAAACACAAGTGTAAACAGGTGTTGTTGTTGTTGAGAATCTTGTTGTCATGCTTGCCCTGGAGCAGGAAGTGGGAGGGTTTACCTGTGAAATGGTTGAACCGAACAGAAATATTCATAAAGACCGGATGATATTTGTGACTGCAGTCCCCCTTTCATTATCTGTTCTTTTGATTGAGATTGATAATGTTTCTGAAGTAAAAGGTTCAACACTTAACAACATAGAACCCCGTATCTGTCTTCTTTACATTTGATGACACTCACACATTTGAGTTTGAGAGAGGCCCAATCAGAGTTATGGTCACGTCACTGCTGTGTGCAGCGGAAACAGAAGGTGTGAGATTGTCAAAAAAGTGAGTGTGAAAATGAAAAAAATAAAAGGGAGTCGCAGAGTTACAACTGTAATCAAAAACTTTGCGCCACTTGAGCAGGATAAACATGAGGGAAGATAAATATGTCTGCTCCCATCTGCTGGATCAGTAAAGAAACTTCAAGCTACTGTCATCTAACTATGACAAAATACAGTTTATTTGCACGTTTGTCCACATGAACAGTGTAATATATATATTTTTAAAAGTAGGGTGTCTGGTTTTCACTATTGAAATTACTTATGATTTACATTCATTATATTATAGCAGTTTTTAACCCCTTTTAGTATATTTTTAAATTATGAGCCTTACAAACACCTTGTGAAAATAGTCAATTCCAGCCATTAAAAATAGCTGCAAAATGAGCTGTCTGCTATCGTGTTAGTAAGTTAATAGTTTGAAAAGACAAATCACTTGCATTTGCAGAACCTGTAAAAGTAACAAATAGACTACGCTCCAAACAGTGTGGTTTTCTGTGATACAGCTCTGCTCTGGGGGTTGGTCAGTTAGTTTCACCGTCTGAGGGTTAACTGGTGGAAAGATTTTCATGTGCCGCAGCCATCAGCAACATTCTAAACATTCAAAACTGTAAAGTGCATGAGCTTATTGAGTGTGGGTGGATTTTGGTGGTGAAAATATGTGTTGATATGAATTTGGTTTGAGACAGTGGTAGATCTCACCCTGAGTGAGTAAATGAATAACAGATTACATTCACAAACAGTCTAAAGCAACAATATTTGATGCCATTTTATTAATTGATTGACTGCGGAACCTTCCGCAGTCAACCATTGGTTTTGTATTTCTTTATTCCGTCATTTTTTTTGACACGTTTCACAGCTTTCACATTTTCAACAATTTCCACAAGTTATACATCAAAACGTTCCACATGTTTGGGAGATTATTGCTATTACTTTTGGGACTTCAGCGATTTCCGGTTTTTCCGCAATCGGACAAAAATCTGCATTGAGAATTCTGCAATGCATTTTAATAGGCCCATGCATTTTAATAGGACTTCAGCTCTTTCAGACATTTCTACAGTTTCAATGATTCAACAGTTTCAAGGATTCAACAGTTTCAAGGATTTCAGCAGTTTCAAGATTTCAAGAGTTTCAAGGACTTCAACAGTTTCAAGGACTTCAGCAGTTTCAAGGACTTCAGCAGTTTCAAGGACTTCAGCAGTTTCAAGGACTTCAGTGTAATCATGCAACCTAATAGGGATTTTTCCATGTAAACCAGTATAATGCAACTTAATGGGGATTTTTCCATGTAAACCAGTACAATGCAACTTAATGGGGATTTTTCCATGTAAACCAGTATAATGCAACTTAATGGGGATTTTTCCATGTAAACCAGTATAATGCAACTTAATAGGGATTTTTCCATGTAAACCAGTATAATGCAACTTAATAGGGTTTTTTCATGTAAACCAGTATAATGCAACTTAATAGGGTTTTTTTTCATGTAAACCAGTATAATGCAACTTAATGGGGATTTTTCCATGTAAACCAGTATAATGCAACTTAATAGGGGTTTTTACATGTAAACCAGTATAATGCAACTTAATAGGGTTTTTTCCATGTAAACCAGTATAATGCAACTTAATAGGGTTTTTTCCATGTAAACCAGTATAATGCAACTTAATAGGGTTTTTTCCATGTAAACCAGTACAATGCAACTTAATAGGGATTTTTCCATGTAAACCAGTATAATGCAACTTAATAGGGTTTTTTACATGTAAACCAGTATAATGCAACTTAATGGGGATTTTTCCATGTAAACCAGTATTATGCAACTTAATAGGGATTTTTCCATGTAAACCAGTATAATGCAACTTAATAGGGTTTTTTCATGTAAACCAGTATAATGCAACTTAATAGGGTTTTTTTTTCATGTAAACCAGT